ATAATATATATATATTTAGATATAATTAATTATATGTTGGTTTAAAATTAATTCCAATATTTGTCCGATAAAATTCGACAACCATAAGGAAAAGTATACCTTATAATTAAATAATTTTTATAAGAATTATTGTAAATAATATGAATTATAATGGAAAATTATCTCGCATTTTCGAGGAGATTTGAGGATTAGACGACCTCTTTCGCGGAAGCTTTCGCGCAGCTTTTACGCGCAGCTTTTACGCGAAATATCGCGCAATAGTTTTGCTTTCGCAGAAAGAAGTTACTGTTTGCTATCTTTCTACATCATCTCTTCACAGAGGGTTTTCGACCCTGCTCAAATGTATAATAATCATAATTACGATCGAATTAGTAGGGTTCCCCTCCGATCAATAATTTCAACATCAAATAACAACTAGTTAACTAGTTCAATAGTCAATCCACATAAATATTTCTTTTGTTTGTTTTCACATATGTTCCTTTCTTGATTAGAATCAAGGGTGTCTTGTAAATTTAGTCATCGATATCTTTCCAGTCATTTAATATTGTATCTTTATTTTTCTCAAACTATTTTTCTTCTGATTGCGCTGTAAACGCTTTATCAAGTCGACAGATTGGCAATGAAAGCTTGAATGGCTTCTGTGATCTCATCCAATTCTGGAGGAGGATCTAAATACCTCGGTATGGTCAGGGCAATTCGCCTTATCAGATTCCTATCATCAACTTCAACCAGCCAACACTTTTGGGCCGTGAAGGGTGGAACCATGGAACCGAAACCTGCCAATTTTCCCAAGACACTCTGCTCCCATCCTTCTTGTGGATCGATAATAATCTTCGATCCTCGTTTTGCAGGGAGGGCTACGTGGTTGAACATTGAAACATATTTCTATGAAATCTAAGACACACATATATATATATACATATATATATATAAATTATGGGTATATATATATAAATCCAAATATATATATATATAAATCCAAATATATATATATATATATAATTTTTCTTTCTATATGGATATGTATGGGATACACCTGGAACAGGGTTTCTGATCCAGGCCCACCATCTCTTGGAGCTGAAATTTCTCTGGGTCTCTCTGGGTCTATATTTACTCCCAATTTGTAAACGCATAGATCGTATCTACATATAATATATATATATAATATAGTTCACACATGTTCACATCTCTATACATCTATATAATTCATTATAATTCTATATATATATATATTTATTACTGAACTGAAGAGTATCACGGATAGGTAGTTGGATGCAGAATGATGAAGATCCATATTTCTGCGAAGCTTCGAGAGGAGCTGACCCTTGTGTCCAGCTGACCTGGGGCGGATGTATCTGAGGCATGGGGGTATACCATGGTCCCAAAATAGCCATGGAAGATGATGATTAGTCAATGGATTTCGGGGGACCCTACTTCCAACATAGCCATGTGATTCAAGAGACATTTTTTTCCACATTTTTCACAATGAAACATGTACGCTGCAAAGCAGCCGTTTGCCCGAGATGAACCCCGCAGATCCAACATGACGTGCTCTTTTTTCCCTGCGCAGGTCCAACTCCCAAACCCTAAAAACCCGAAACATCCCGAAACCCCAAAAACCCTAAAATCCGAAATCCTGGAAGCATAAAGACAAAATCACAGCGTATAGCCACTGTTTCCGCTTATTCTCCGGTGACGGATATAATTTAACATAGTTTTGGTGTATTTTTTTTCATTTTCGAACGTCTCCTTTGACACGGACATCTAATTTTGAGCCATCTCAAATGATAACTCCCAACTTGGATGATTTGGGCACTGAAAATGACAAACCTTTTTGTTTGTCCATCTCTGCTGGATTTTCCAGAGGAAAACATGGCCATGTCATGTCTGGTTGGTGGCTGAGCTATGCTCTGAAATATGGACGTCATTGATAAACATACCTTCTAGAATCAAGGATCATGCAAAAACTGGACATATGAATCTCAATGGATCTTCATAGTAGATTCGCGTACCTACCCTGCTTTTTAGTTCTTTCGGCAGGATTAATTTCAGGGGTCTACATCACTCTTACACATATTGCATCATATCGCCACGTACAACCCTCCATATTTAATAGGAACAAAAACACGTTTTCTCATATTTCCTGCAGATTTTCCCTCCAAATAATGCCGCCGATATATGCCGATGAATAAATCCAAATTTGGGTTGAACAAGTGTTCAGAACCTCTATCCATTCCCTAACGGACCCAAAAGTATGCGCTCTTTATTTCATCCGTATTCAAACCCCTTCAGTTTGGAGGTATGTATGACTATCCCCGTTCTGGCAGCACACATGGTCTCATCTTAAGACATCAATGAGTCGAGAGGACGATAAATCAGCAGTGGCAACTGATAATTACTGGGAAGAACAAACAGCTAACACACACTCAATCCGATTCCTCAGTCTGTTCTTGAAATAGACTTCAACAAAAAACAGGGAGACAAAATTGGCTTATGACCAACATGAGTGAAGAGACAAGCAGGGGTCGACTCAAGGCAAGTACCCAGTACGAGTACAGAGCGATCACATCCATCACCCAGCAAAAGCGGAGGATGGACTTGCCATTCAAATATCGACAAACCAGGGCCATCTGCCAACCAACATGGCAGTTCAAGGGTCCGAAGATCTGGCTAAATTAGCCATCCAGCTCTGAGACTCCGACTTTCCAAAGCGACACAACCTGGCCACAATGGTTTGCACTGGGCTGGAACAATATCAAAGACATGTCTACATCTGTGTCTCTTCTTGTATATATGCTGTATATGTCCTGAATACAGCCTATATTCTATGACAATAACATGATTATATATATATAATATAATGTATATTATGATACCTATTACAATGTGTATATATATATATAATGAATTATAATGATATGTATATATATATATATATATATATGTATATATATATATGTATATATATATATATTATATACACACTATGATAACTATATATCATGATATATATATATATAATGATGTATATGATAGACAGTATTATATAAATGAGATACTATTTTCATTATGATAATTATATATGTTAATTATACATAATGTTATATATCATGATGTATATGCCTACGGCAGGAAAACCGTACGTGCGTTTTGCTTCTTTTTTGAGTATTGCTCTTTGTTTTGGGGTTGGGGTGGGGTGGGGTGGGGGGGCATGTTAACGTTCCTCAAACTTCGTACAGGATATATTGCGATGTTGCTAAGATCTCTGGGATCTTTTACTACGTTACATGTTGCTACGCTGCTGGTATCTCTGAGATAGTTTCCTACGTTACAGGTTGCTACGCTGCTGAGATCCTTGGGATCGTTTACTACGTAACATGTTGCTACGCTGCTAAGATCTCTGGGATCTTTTACTACGTTACATGTTGCTACGCTGCTGGTATCTCTGAGATAGTTTCCTACGTTACAGGTTGCTACGCTGCTGAGATCCTTGGGACTGTTTACTACGTAACATGTTGCTACGCTGCTAAGATCTCTGGGATCTTTTACTACGTTACATGTTGCTACGCTGCTGGTATCTCTGAGATAGTTTCCTACGTTACAGGTTGCTACGCTGCTGAGATCCTTGCGATCGTTTGCTACGTTACATGTTGCTACGCTGCTGAGATCTCCTTGGGACTTTCTTACTACGTCTGATGCACATGATGTTTACCTGGATTTGTTAAAAATCAATAGATTTTGCATCCACTTTTTTTAAACCCAAATTCAGTTATCCAAACTGATCGGAAGAGCATTTTATATTGTAAATTACAGGTGATTGTGACTCTCCTGGAAGCAGCCAATCAAAACGCTCGCGCGGTTTCCCTTCCGCCGGGATGTATATGATATGTATTATGATATATATAGTTATATAATACAATATATGTCTATTATGTACAACAGATCCTCCCTGGGAGGAGCTAAGAAATGCATCACGAAATGCATAGCACACCCAAATAATTTGCCGGGCACCAGAAGTTCAAGAACTCGTGAAAGGAGGCCTGACCGCCGTGGGGCAGGGACCACAATGGTGATCGATTTGGGGGTGTGAAGATAGGGTACACTCAATCTATGGCTGTTTTGATAGGGAAAAGATGGGAAAATGATCAACAAAGATCAACCATGGGCTTTTGGATGCTATTGGGGTCTCCAATTTTCAGACAAAGCCATTTGGAAACCTCGGTTCATTCTGTGAACCGCCCCTCCCTCATCCTCTAGAGCCAAGCAAAAACAACCCTACCATCACGAACATCATGATCTATGTTTTGTAATCTACTCCATGTTCTTTCTCAAAGATGGCATTGCAGACGGAGAAAGTCTGCTGGCTTCTTGAAAACACTGACTTTCAGTCTACTAGTAGCACTGTTGCTTCTATGGAATTCCGCATGTGTCCCAAGGATGGAAAAACCGAATCCAATATATAGGGTCTTGGACCTCCGATACAAATACCCAACAAAAATCATATTCCGCGGCGGAAAACAAAGAATCTTAACAGTTTCTCTCCTGTCCGCTGTTTCAGCCTTGTTGAAATCTGAAAGATTGTTTCAACTTTCAAATGAAGCAAGTCGCAAGAACCCTTGAAGGAAGCTGCACAATTACGCAGTGGGAACGTCCGCAACCCTGCGAATTGCGGTGAATTGCGAGAACACGGCAAGAAAGTGGCTCTCTGGACATTTCTTGAGAATCCACTGACTATGATAACAAAGGTACATGGTGGTACGTAATTCATAATTCTTACATACCCTGTCACGGCCAAACATTGAGATTCCCGCCTTTAAAAAATGTTGTTCCTATTCAAATAGTTGGGAAATTTCATGAATTTCCATTGCTAGGCAAAATGAAACCACAGGTTTTCATCTTTACCTTGTGCATTTTAAAGCAACATTCGGCCAAAAAAGCAATTGGCCTTTCCAGAATCATCTTCGTCGATCTCCTTCCAAAAGAAACCTCAGCGACGTGCCACCGAATGTTCATTGATCTGGGAACTCCTCCAAGTTTAAGAGCTGTTGGTGCACTATCAGGATGGATACAGTATGATACAGTAGGATACAACTCAACCAGAAAGATTTGCTAGGAGCATGATGGAATATTGCCAGGTCAATTTTCATTGATGAACAGCAAGCCGTGTTTGACATATAATCAGATTCAACCGTAAAACTATACAGTACATACATATATAATCATATATACATAAACAAAAAACACAGACACACAATATATATATATATATATGTATATATATATGTATATATATAGTATATAATTATATACCATTATATACCTATGTATTCCAGTACATGGATATCTTCTAGACATTCAGGCTAGGGAACTTCTGAAAATTTCACCACAGGGGATACCATGGGATGGCCTAGTCTTATGGCACTATAAAACTGCTTGGTGGTGCAATAACCATCTTGAAACATATGAGTTCGTTATATTATCATGGATGACATCCCATATATTATGGAAAATAACACATGTTCCAAACCACCAAGCGGTTAAACAATCTTTTTGTGGGGCACAAAAGAAGATCAACCATTGGATTTTGGGGCTACAAACAAATTCCAACAAGTTGCCTTTTTAAAGGTGCACCAACATACGGGGATGGGTCAAAACCCTGGTACCTAGTGAACCCCAAAATAGCTGGTAAATGGATGTTCATCCCACTAAAAATGTATCTATAGGTATTGACCCATACCCAAGAACTCACCGAATCGATCAGTTTATACTGTTCATACTCCATGGAAAAAGTGATCTTTTTCAAGAGTCAACGAAAGAGACCGGCTGACCAAAGACAAAAAAAGTATTCGGATGTGGAGCCACTGAATTGAAGGACCCAAAATTGAACGAAAGTTTTTGATTTTCTCTGGCAAGATGGATCTGTCAGAGGTAAGTGGTATTCCAAGGGCTTGGCGGATGCGGGAGGGTGGGATCTGCAGGTGTGGTGGAATGTTCATCACCTCGCGACAACGGCAATGATGAATACCCTCTGGTTATTTAACCTAGCCATGGTATAGATGGCCCATAGAAATAGATGGTTTATTAAAAATGGGTGGATTTTCCATGGTTATGTTAAATAACCAGATGGTAATTGATGTTAAGAGAACGTGTGCAGATGCTACAGTGCCCTTATTTGGTGGCAAAAATCCATTCGGTGAACATTCTCTTGAACCGGGCTCCAATGAATACATAGTTTACCGGGCTCCCCATGGGAATTGATTTCGCCACAGGCTTTGGTTTTGAACGGCGACTGTAAGAACTTTGTACCCTGGTCAGTTGCCCTGTAGAATTTACTGCTCATTGACTCAACATTCTAGACAGCCATGGTTTTTGAAAACAAACTCAATCCTACGGTCTCTGACTAGTGCTCTGGAATTTCACCAACCTATATCCACATCTGGATGATGGATTTGGAAGATCTATATTCAAAATTTTAAGACATATCAATAGAGGATCACAGAAGCAACTGCAGGCAGGGCACTCTCCAACTGCAGGCACAGTCCCTTTCTGGTTTATACCTCAATGCATCCTCATAAGGGGCCCATAAACCCATTACTAGCCATGAATCCTAATTTCCGGAATCATCCAAGATGAGGCCCGGCAAGTGATCTGGATCTTGGTGTTATGTCCAATACATCTTGCGGTTCGAGTTCGAGCCTCAATGATTCAACAAACCCACCTTTGCGGGGGTTGATTCTTTTGAACCCTACCTATATGCCCATCATCAGCTGGATAACTTGCAAACATCGTAGGAATCTACACAGATTACATCGTATTTTCAACATGGAAGCTATCTCAAGTATCAGGGTGCCCTTAACCTCGCACCCTCTCCCCGTGTCTCCCCTCGCATCCATTTTGCATTCGAGGCCTCTCGCAAGACATTCTCGAACTCCTCCTCGTCCACCTTTTTGACATGTAGCTGGTTGGTGGTTGAGCCAACCCCTCTGAAAAATATGAGTTCGTCAGTTGGGATGATGAAATTCCCCATATATGGGAAAATAAAAAAATGTTCCAAACCACCAACCAGGTAGTGATGATTGGCAATATATGATACCGTATCGGATACGGCATCCTAGATCAAATGATACGGTGTGCATTTCAATACACAAATGCATGTTGATGTCAGCCCAGCACTGAACAGGTCATGGACATGGTATAGCTCAGCTACTGAGATGATCAAATTATATCAAATTCATCTAAGAACGCACTGAACTCTGGGGTTTTGGTCCTTAATACACCTTAATACCACTGCAAAAGGGCAATTTTGTTTAAAAAGTTGGGTAAATGGAGTACGCTTTGCACCACTTCAGCAGATTTTCCATGATTTTCCCACAACGGATGGCTCCCTCAAAAAACGGCCCCGCCACACCTCCCCGGAACGGTCCAGATCAAAGGAAGTGAAGGATCTCCTGATCAAAGGGGACCCATGGGATGAAAAATCCTCTGGGAAAATCCTGGAATGTCATGGACAAAAAAACATCTGACTGTAGATGTTTCTTGAAGAAACACCCCCATCTTTTGCGGAAGAAAAACTCCTGACTTTTGTCAATTTCCTTATAATATCTTATAATCTTATGGTCAAAGAACCAACCGTTCCTGGTTTCATCTGCATTCTCTTTTGTTTTCTTCATTAAGTCACCGTTTCATGGCTCAAATCCCTATACCTTTCTTGTTTGACGCACCAGGTCACCACCATGACCACGGCGGCGCCTCACTCGGTCCATGCACATGGCATCCAAACCGTTGACCTTTGCCAACGTTCGGATGCGCTTCTCCTGCAGGGAAGCAAAAGGGTTGGTTGTTCCCTGGTGACCTGGTTTCAGGTGGAGAAATCTTGGCTTTAGACAGTCAAGTGATGTCAATTGATGTCAATTGATCAGTAAAATGATGCAACAGAAAGATACAGATTGACAGAAGGAAACCACCAACCAACATGGGATTTCAAGAAATTGACATCGGGGATGTCAATATCAACAACAGCTACCACCCGTGACAAGCTCACATATTAGCATTTTCACGTGGCACGTCCTTCTCGTCAACCAGCAAATCCGTCATGAAGCCAGTACACCTAGGTCCACTGCGGCTGCTGATATGATCCCCGTGATGGTCCCATAATGATTTCCTCATCTCCTCAAGTCTGTGTATCTATATACACATACAACATATATAATGATGCGTATATATATATAATTATATATTGTATGATCAATTACATGTGGAAAAACGCACTTTCCTATATCATTATATATACTTATAATTACATATGGGTATATAAAGGAGTACCAAGGTATATACAATCTGATCCACAAGGTCGCGAAACATATCGTTTGATTTCGTTTGATCACACACCCACTATACTATATCTTTCCATATGTTGTTTTGAGGATGAACATCCAGCTATCCCCATTTTGGTGACCAGGAGATCCATGGCCATCCAAGAGGCGAATACCACAAAAGGAAATCCTCGAAGTCGAGATCCAAGTTGTCCTGCGGCACATACCTCAGACAGCTGCAGTTGCCCGCGGCTGTAACAATGTGGCAGCCAATTCTGGGACTGATTCATGAAAAATTAAGGGCAACCCCCTCCAACAATATGTGGCTATGTGGCTTAGTAAGTCCATATTGTTTGGGTTGATGGTGGTTAGGCCTTGTTTGCTGGTAACCTTCAGGGAGGTACCCCTAGACTTTCACAATGAAGGGTCGACCAAACACCAGGCCTTCTTACTGGACACCCAGGGGTGGGGCTTTACCTAATTTGAACTTCGGAGTTACACTTTGGATTGGGCCATAGGTGTAGATGAAGATGATGAAGATTAAACCACACATCCACAACGATCCCAAGCACATTCAGAGTCCAACTACCTTCTTTCCCAGGATCTTGAATGAGCTTGCGAGGACTCTGCGTGAGGGTACCACAATTTATGCCGCCAGCTTGGGGGTATCCGATTTGACATGCCTTGGGCTGATATATTTGGTGCTGTGATGAAACTTAGTACAACGAGCAAAAGCGAGGCACTAGGAAATTGCAACTTTCCCCAAATATACAGCCTGGGTTGATTTGAAGCCACATCTACTCCAACCAGTTTGAATACACTTTCCACATTTATGATTCATGAAATTCGTCGACCACAAAAAAAGCGGATGGAAAAGCAGAAACGCATACCAGAATCTATGATTGGGGGCTCAAACAAGTTCATACTTGTATACTTGATCTTATCACACAATTATACTCATGATTCTAGTTTGTTGCATCAGCAGTTATATATGTCGTTTACCCCTACCGGTGATCATTCAACCCCTACTTTGGGTTGCTACATCCATAAACGTGCTGGACATGGAAAGGAACCATGGCAACTTCCGTGAGTGTGAATTATCCATTGAATGTTGATGAGTAAACGGCTACAATCACCACGTTTTTTGCCCGACAGCCCAGCGCGATGCCAAGGTACCTTAGCCATTGGTTGAGAAGCCTTGGCGTGTTCGAGTCAGGGAGGCTTCTCCAGTTTGGATGTACCGTTCCAGTACTCACTCGCACTATTGAAACACGTTCTCCGCAGTTTGTACATATTTGATGATTATTATATAATTATATATATACTATATACATCAGTTATAGCTCGCTATGCACATAATTATATATCTCTATATGCATAATTCTTACATCATCATGATGGAAAGGCCACTGACTTGCAAGCTGGTGACTGTTTCGATTGCCCAGACTGGATGCGCTGCTGCACAGTCGCATTGTCTGACACTTGCCGCTCCTCAGTTCGCGCCCCTGCGGCCCAGCCAGGGGCCCAGGCTGCCTCTGGTGGTTTCAACATGTTTCAACCATCGATTTTCCCAACCACCAGCGATTGAGTGGCTGAACACAATCATCCCATAGTGATCCAAAATGTGTAAGTTCACTTAACTATCTGGTTGGTGGTATACCTACCCCTCTGAAAAATATGAAAGTCAGTTGGGATGATGAAATTCCCAATATAAGGGAAAATAAAAAATGTTCCAAACCAGCAACCAGCTATGATTTATTGTCCACTGAATTTTAGAATCCCAGAATTGCATTGAGGAACAAGACTTGATGAACTGCTTATATTTGGGGTTGGGGTGGTACACACCAAGCACATCCCGGTTTCCTCATTCTTCCCCTAAAGCAAATTACCATATCTCATCATAATTATCAAGATGTCCCCCTTACCCCGATTGGTTTCAAATCCCATTTTCAGACTCACTATCCCTTTTTTTTGCGGGTCAGTTGCAGAGAGGCCCTCAGTATCGTGACAGTTGGCGCACACGTCAGTGATATTCCCATCGTCCCAAATAAATTAGGTACACCATGGTAAACCCAATGCCATCCGATCACCATCCCAACAACCATGACAAATGGGTCAATGATATTCAATGCATCATCCCAGAGGTATTTCACTCATTGCATATCTGGTTGGTGGGTTGACCTACCCCTCTGAAAAATATGACAACTCGTCAGTTGGGATGATGAAATTCCCAACTGTTTCTGGAGAGTCATAAAGCCATGTTCCAGTCACCACCAAGCAGCATAATTATACTCATCATCCCAGAGGTATATGATATACCCTCTGGTTATTTAACATAGCCATGGAAAATGGTTGATTTTCCCATTAAAACCTCCATTTATAAGGGATTTTCCATGGCTATGTTAAATAACCAGAGGGTACTTCCCAATGCCACCTGCCGAGTCGCCATGAGCGTCTCAATGACCCTTGTGATCTCCTCGAAACTCAAGCGGCCCGACCGATCTTCGTCGTGGGCATCGAAGATCTCCTCCGGGAAATTCATGATGGTAATGATGCTTAATCATGGTTAATAGATGTTAATAGATGTTAATAGTGGTTAATAGATGTTAATAGATGTTAATAGATGTTGATAGATGTTAATAGATGTTAATAAATGTTAGTAGTGAATCATAGTTAATAGTCACGAATTGTTAGTTATTATCTCCAAACGGCCATTAATGGTTAGGAATGGTGATATGATGGTGATACACTGGGGATATCATGGGGATACTACCCAATTTTCAGACAAAACCATATATGTAGTTGACATTTTCTATGGTATCTTCATTTCCACAGTTGCCGCAGTATAAGGAAACAATTTCGACCCCCCATATCTGAGGTAAATCACCATTTAAAAAGCATCATTTCCGCCAAAGAAATCCTGTAAATTCATCTGTTGATTGTTACATACTACTGGTACCATCTCCCGAGAAACTGGTTGAGTTGATTCCTGCCCAAACCATTGCGCCATCTCCAGCGACATTTAGGAAATGGTTGCTCCCTCTGTATCCTCCTCTTACTTCACCAATCTTTATCAGAAATGGGTGAGGTCATTGGGTAGCAAAAAATTGGAGGTTAACACATAATATTGGTTAATATTGTCATATACAAGTTATATAATGAATAATACCAGTATTTCAATGATATGTTGTATACCTCAATTGTTTGAATAACCAATATTAGTTCATATCACCAGCATCAAATCATTAAGGGCACCGCATGGTCCGACGAGGCAGCCCCTCTCGAGGCACCTTCGCCTCAACGACCTTCTCCAAGCTCATGTTCATGTCGCGAGCCAGTTCTGCAGCCACAAGGACTGAATGATCTGAATGTTTGAATGTATATCCGTAATGGCACAATTCTAATTGCATATATAGGCTCGTCCCTGCTCCTGGAACCACATACGATGGGGTGGGGGGGGGGGGGGGGATGTTAACGTTCATGTGAATTAACGTGGGATGTTAACGTTCATGTGAATTAACGATGATGATGATGATGATGATGATGATGATGACGATGATGATGATGACCCTAATGAAACTTGTCAATTCCGCGACTAAATTTCGTCACGGAATGGACAAGTTTTACCAACCTAATTCAGGTTTGCGCGGTTCCAAGAGCAGGGACGAGGCCATATATACAGTTATAATTAATGAATATCATGAATTAATGATAACTAATCTACATAAATATCAGGTACCGTAATGTACCATATGTCATTGTGTATGTACATCATTGTACATCTATATATAGCTAATAATCCATGGGTTCTCACTGTGTACTCTGAATTCGACTGGCACCGGGTCAAGCTTCCTCCCGGGTCGCGCATCAAACTATGGGCTTCCCGCCAAGATGCTGTGCAGTTGCCACAAAGGTATGGCATGCGTTTCAGCACGAATCCTCAGCATCAATGATGAACGACGTACCTGATGTTTCCACATGTTTCCATACTATGATTCCTCTAGAAACGTGACCTTTCACTGGATTTTACCATTTTAAACCATGATTGCCATGATTCATTTCCCTCCCATGTGAAAAGTAGTGACACTTTTAACGACACATTGCAGGTGCTGGGCTGGGTATCCTGAGAGAAATGTAGACCTTAGCCATCCTTAGCCTGTGAGGCATTCAAACAAAACCAATGTTGGTTGCGTTCATCCATAGGTATCCATAGGTGATCATTACCATCCGGTTACTGGGATTTTCCAGCCACGGAAATCATGACCAGAGGGTAGCGCCAAGGTCGGGATTGGCCCCAACAATGAAGCCAACATGTCCTGCTGCTCTCGAAAACTAGCTGGTCACTCGTGATAGTCTTCCCAAAAGTTGAGTAAAGACAGACAGATATGGCTGAAATCATTCAACTGACCACTAGTTTGGCTGAGATGAGACTGGGTAATCCTGTCATCACACAGAGTTTATCAACTCACGGCAACTAATTAAGGGTGTATAGCATTAAAAAAAATAAAATAACATACAATAACCGGCCAGGAGTCAAGAATGAAACTTTGCGAACGAACAGCAACAGGACTCTTGAAAAAGGCCTCCATTTTATGTAATACCACACTCTCTGTTGAGTTTTTGGGCAACGGAAGTGGAGAACTGTATAGTACACTTGCAAACTCCTTGATTCTTGGATACTTCCAGTAACAAATAGGGGGCGAGTTTCCAACATGTTCTGTAAAATGCTATGCCGCCCTGATCCACCCTGATGCAAAGGTTTACCGGACTGAAAAAACAAGTTTGTCCAACACGTGCATCCAATGACTTTTGGTCATTTTGTAGAGGCATCAGTTTCATCCATTTCATTCCTTTCATAGGGGTCCAATCTAGAGGAATCACCATTTTTTTCAATTCCAAAGGACAGACATCCCTCATTTTCCCAGTTTGGTATCACCCGTTTTGAACGTTTTTTGGTTATACAATGTTATACAATGTTATAAGCTAAACCCAGTTCACCAACCATCTGGACATATTATTGTAATTCCCATATATTCGCAAATCAGAAATAAGCACTGTTCGGGTAGTTTATGCTGCGACCAGTATCCATCATCTTTGTTAATCGGTTGTTGTAAGGTGGCTCTGATTTATTCGCAACCAAGGGGATTCAGATATATTCAAATAAGCCTGGTTGGTCAACCTTGGCACTTGACCTTTTTGACCTTTTCGACCTTTCAACCCAGCTTCGGGTTCACCGAGCTGATCAGCGCGTCGCGCTTTCCGTCACGCTTCTCGGCCCGCAAGTCGCTGAAGACCTGGTCGGCGACCGGTGGGAAACAACCAGCCACAAGGCTACAGTAACAAGAAATGGATAGAAATGGGGCGTAACTGCGTAACCAACAAAACAATGAGGTACAGTAGAAAGAACCAATAAGAACCAACCAAAGTTGGCGTGTTATCAACAGGGCCAGTAACATTTTAAATCTTGGAGCTTTTTAGCAGGAGATACCAACAATCGTTGCAAACTCAGGGAACTCACATGATTTCACCAGCAACACGTTGGGGGCTGAACCAACAACATCAAAACATGTGGTAGACTATGCAGTAGACGCCAAAAATCTTTCCTGGCTCGGGCTTACCATTGGCTTCCCACAAATGCATCAAGAAGATGCCATGGAATTCAGTTGTGATCAGGAATCATACATCATTTTGTCTCCCAGCTTTTTCCATTTCATCCCTTTTATGTCATGCTTTGGAGCTTCGCACTATGGAACATGAACCCAAACCCTGGGTCTGCACCTTGTCAAAGTTCGCTTTCAAGCTCAGCGCAAATTCCTGGACATTTTGCCAAAAGAATGTACAGATCTAGGAAGTCGACTCAGCTCTAAGGAGGCTTCCCACTTATATCATTATATCTTCTTCGAAATTCTTGTAACTCGTCTGACTCGTCTTTATGATCTGAAATTTCAATTTAGAAGAGGACCAAACCTGCTGCGGCACTATTGTTTTGGGTGATGGCCAATGACAAATAAAAAATTGAGGATCGTGTTTGAGATCATCATTGCGGAAGTTTGAGTGACGCCAAAAATGCAATCCGACCATCTAATGGCCGCTGATCCACCAGCCCCTACAAGGCCCATAAAACTGGACCCAGATCATATGACAACCCCATCCAATGCGCCCACCCGATTGACATAGACCCTGAGGATAGCTGATTTTTTAAAAATGAAAGTAGTCTTTCAGAATTTCAACTTCTAACCCCCAACCCAGGGTCTATGTTGGTTGGGGGAACGGTATAGCCTCCAGGCATCAAACATTGCGGTCAAGAACCTGGGCATCCAACTCAATGAGGCTAGGTGGATGTTTGATTACCCGGAGGCTTATTAACTACTGTATTGTTATACTGGTTGGTGGTTTCAATCCCTCTGAAACATATTAGTCAGTTGGGATGATCGTTCCCAATATATGAAAAAATGTTCTAAACCACCAACCAGTACTGTATTATTACTTATTATGAGGGAATTCTCAATCTACAATGACTGGTCAAGCGATTACTATCCTAGTAACCAATGCGATTAGTGACTGATATTAAGACATGCTTCTGAATTGTTGGGGAATGGTACATCTTTCATGGATAAATCACACATATTATGAAAATTCATTGTTAAATACCACATTTTCAAAAAAATCCTAGGTTTTCACGATTGAGTCCCAAAAAATATCATAAATACCATATGTTCATGTTAAATACTATGTCTTCACGATTAAGTCCCATATTTTCATGGCTAAATCCTTGATTTCAATGGTGAAGTCCCATGGTTTCACCCGAAACAAAAGCCACTACTCCGACTCGCTGTCCGCATCCAAGGAGGTGGTCATGGTCTCGGAGGACTTCGGGTGGCGTCCTGCGCAGTGCACAGGTGGAAACAATGGAACATATGGAATTTCACCATGAAAAAAAACACCTATATATATATATATATTTGGGTAAATTATAATATTTCACTAACCTGAATTAAGGCCATTTTCCGTTGATTTCCCTTATTAACTATGATTCCAGTGAGGTCGCAGTGAGGTCGTTATAATTTACCCAGATATATTTGTACTGTATATTCTGAAATTATTTATGGATATGGGATGTATTTTGTAATCAAACATGGCTAGCTGGAAAATCTCTCATGTTGTTCTGTGATTTTTCCAGCTGGAAACCTCCGTTTAGAATCATTTATAGGGAATATGGGGATTGGATAAATATGACCGCAAAACATATGGAAACATACCTATGCATCCATATAAACAGTAAATAGCAACCATGATTTAAAAATATTGAAACACTATATGACGATATATATATATATGATTCTATATGATACAACTATATACAACTAGGAAACATGAGGGACATCATACAATAACATATAATAACACAACCACAGAAGAAATATGACGAAATCGGAATCGGCAATATCACAAACAGAATGAGGTCATGGGCAGGCCATGACGTTCCAACGCAAAGTCCTCCACATTTTACCATCCAACTCAAAAAGCCAAGACATCCATGAGTACATTACATTGCCAATCTTAGATACCTGGCAAAAAAAAATCTTTGCTGGTTAGTAGATATTCCCATTGATACCAAAAGACTAAAGGATTAAAGTATCCATGTAAGATTGACCTAGATTAGAAACATAAGTATTTCTATATACCCTCTGGTGAACTAACATAGCAATTGAAAATGGCCATTTATAGTGGATTTTCCCATTAAAAATGGTGATTTTCCATTGCTATGTTAGTTCACCAGAGGGTAACTATTATATTACGTATTTCTATACGTAGAGGAAAAGTCATCAAATCCTCAGCGATCTGAAGTGACTGCTGACAGTTTAGTCGCCAAGGCACTCAAAGTCCGCGAACTTGTCGAATCCTTCGAGCTTGACATTGGATTCAGATAGGGCCATGGCCAGAGGATATGGATGGATATTAGGATCAAAAGCCTAGTACCTGGTACATCCTGGTTTCCTGTAACCCTGGTGAAAGTACAACTCCAGCAATGGATGTTCATCCTCCCACAAATACACCCCTCTATAAAACACAGTGAGGGACACGGTGTGATTTGGGCCGGATTCATCGTACAGTAATCCATCATTCCGATAATCTACCCTCTGGTAAACATACAAAAAGCCATTGAAAATGGCCATAGAAATAGTGGATTTACCCATTGAAAATGGTGATTTTCCATAGTTATGTAAACGTTTACCAGAGCGTATTGCCAATCTTTCAGAAATGTCATTCTTCTGCGCAAATCTGAACAGTTTCACAAATGTCCAAGTAGAAAATCGCATCCGCCGCGGTGCCAAACAACACAACCGCACAAATTAATGTCCATTAGGGGTTCAGCAAACTGGTCAAACACGGGCATATCAACAATTGACCCGTTCTCGGAGATGAGAAATTCAGGAAGAAATTGGAACCAACAGATCCACCATTTCCTTTCCAAGCCAATATTTGGTGATCAACCCCACTAGTTGCTCATTGTGCTGACCCCCATGTAGAAAAACAATGAACAATATATTTTGTGGATAAATCAAATAAACCCTAATTGTTCTTACTTAAATGTTCGTTCAATTCCCTCCAATCCAACCACGAGGATTTTTCACTTGATTTAGGTGAAATCTTCTAATTTCTTGTTTGGCTAATTCCAAACATTCAAAAAAATAAAGTGATTCAAAAAATTCCAGCATTCTTGGCACATTCTCAATGCAAAGCACTGGCCAGAAATGATCCCTACCTCCATTGGCACTTCATCTTCCGACTCGCTTTCTGGTGGCTCAACTGGCACCCTGAGACGACTGACTCAGGGGCCCAGTTCTTTCTCCATAGAAAAAACAGCGGTTTCAATTGGAAAATCATGATGTTTGGCCAACAGAACTGGGAAACTCAGGGAAACTCAGGGGCTAAAAACATCGGCAAAAAAGGATAAAGAAGGCGGAACGGCATGGTTCCAGAAAATCAGTGGTCAAAACAAATGAATCCCAAAGCCAGTGGTGTTTAAATACAATATATATTTTATATGATATTATATGTATGCATACATAAGTGTTTTTGGTTGATTACAAAAGCATTCTTCTTGGAAAAAACATAGTCCCTCTTGTAGCACTGCGCCAATGGACTGAAACCATATTCAGAAACTAAGGTTCCCATGCTAAAGCTCATTTTAATTCAGTACTGACCACGACCAACTGAACAGTTTACACCACACCATGGCACCAAGCATTGATCCCATAGCGGGCTTCTGTATGGTAGCCACATGAATCAATTACTGGATGAATCACCTCGGTCAGTTCCTGTCAGTTCCTCATCTCGGGAGGGGTCAAAGTTCTGAAAGTAAATGGGGATTGAATACCCAATCATCCTGAAGTGGGTAGAATATGACATTTCCATATTCTATCTACTCCAGGATGACAAGAAATATGATGATTCAGTTAAAGTTAGTCATATCTATATATCTTTTGGGGTACCCCAGAATCCATTGGTTCATCAAATCTTCCCTATAAAAAACTAGCATTTTAGATCCATTTAGGGGTATAAACCCCATATATCACCTGGCTTAAGTCGTCAAAGCTGCCCACCTGGACTTGACTTTGGAGATCAGCCAAGGTTGCCACGCCAAGGCCCTGGCTGTGGGATTTCCGAAATGGAAGGAAAAATGGGATGTGTCATGAGTTATCTGTCTATTTTGTAACATGCTTTGTGGATGTTTGTGATTAAAAAGTTAGAAACATGCGGGTTGGTCTTAAAAGGTAGAATCTGTCGCCAACATGTGGGCTTTTTAGTAGAGAACAGGTGGTGTGAAACCATGCGATGCAACGGGATTCACAGTTCAGACAATGCCATCTAGCCACGTTGCATGCCAAATATCTACTGCCAGTCTTGTCCCAGCTGAGAGCATAGAATGGAAAGACCACAGTTGAAGGCCTGACTGGTTCACTCAACAGCGCAGCTCACAGATATTATAGTATCAAAAGGAGTCAAAAAGAATGGATACTAAACAAATAAGTTTGGATAGATACATATGTTACATAATATGCATTATCTGCCCATGTATAAGTAATATCATACAACACATCTACCCTGGGGCATGCTTGGGGTATCTCAAACACTTGGTCTTCAAACCAGAGCACCCAGATGTCATTAGCAGGAGCGGACGTGCCACAGTCAGGGTCAAACGAATCCTGGGTACATTATTCCCTGTGGGTATATGGAGGTTTCCTAACATGGGGGGTACCCCAATAGCTGGATGGTTTATTTCATGAAAAATCCTGCTAAAATGGATGATTTGGGGTACCACAATGACACTGCCCCGGACACAGGTGGGGTCAATGCATCTGAAACTAGGGAGGATGGCAAAAAATGGTTAAGAGTAGAACCAAAGCCACTACTCGGAGCGCCCCAAGAACTGGTATGCCAAGTCAGACATGCAGCATGCACATAATTTAAGTGTCGCGAATTTTCATCGAAAGAAATCACATCGATCAAAAACAGAAGAGCATCGTGACTAGTTACATGTATTTTCAAGTGACAAATTGTCATTATCTGACAACTTTTGAGTTTGGTCACTTTAGGCAGGTCCATTTTCTTTTACCTTTCATACCACTTCATACTTCTGGAACAAAAAGGAACACATAACCCACGACTCAATGCCTACGCATGGCGGTTTCGGTGGCTTTTGCCACCAAGGGTGTCATGGTGGCCGCTGGATCGCAGATGGGGCGGCCTGCCAAAAGTACCGAACAACACCGGTCGCGTAGATGCATACATACATTACATACACTGTGACACTGTATTACTCGATACTACTCTACGCCACGGTACATTCCTGTATATACATTGGTTGATTATTGTATTACATCGATTCATATTATCTACATTAATTAGATTGGAATAATGTGGCATAATTAATTATTGGAATAATGTATACCCTACTACTATATTATGCTACATTAATTTCAAACGATCTGAAACTGCCCTCAGCTGGTGCAAGAAAATTGGCCTCATCCCAGTCACTCAGCTGATCGCATATTGAATCCATGGAAGCGTTATTGAACATGGTAATGTTCATCTTTTTCCCATCAATATAACCATTTTCAATAGTTGCCATATTTTAGAATGATATTGATCATTGATCACATAGTTGCCATATTTTTGAGTGTGGGTCAGTGGGTCCGGCCGTAAATTCCATCGATGCTCATGTCAAGTTGTTCGCCACCAGGTTCGGCTTTGTCCAAAGATAGGGTACCCCAGAAGTCTAGTGCTTTGTCATCGTGTTTCACCAAAACATTGCCCGAGGTATCGGTACATACCATTTTTCGGTTGGACTAGGTTATATATGGTTATATAATTACCCCAAAATCTGCCGCTTCATCATATTTAAACTACTTCATAGCCATTTACTGGTTGGTGGTTTCAACCCCCTCTGAAAAATATTAGTCAATGGGAAGGATTATCCCACTATTATGGAAAATAAAAATCATGTTCCAAACCACCAATCAGATAGTCATAATATCATGAATCACCCATTGATCACCAGTGATATTAAGCCAATGATTAACCATCATATAACCATTATATAACCGTTGATTTAATATAATGATGATAATTCCTAGTAATAATGGGTACCAATGGTTGTATAACCATTATATAACCATTGATTTATCACTTGGGGATATATGATGATTTATAGTCAATTCCTCCGGGTACCACTTTTTTTCCATGAAACACTGGGCTCTCCGCCATCACCAGGGGATCCCCACCTGCAGGTGTCGGATTTTGGTTCCAGGGCCGCCGTTGGAGCCGTTGGAGGTCGGATTTCCAGGGACCTGGGCGTTCCAATGGAGCGACGCCACTCAAAATATGCTGGTTGAATCTGGTTATTGGCAGTTATACATCTTATACTACCAAGGTGATTGGGTTGAATCATATTCAATCATATGAAAAATGAATATCTCAATATCGAAAAACGGTGCAAAAAAATGATCAGCCATATTGTTTAGGGACACCTATCAGGTCACCTATCAACCAATATTTCTTAACGGCTGGGTTTCGATGATCATCTGATCTTGCCAGGTTCCAAATTTTTGGCATCGAACTTAGGGCTGCTACCCTCTGGTAATGACTAACATAACTATGGAAAATCACCATAGAAATAGTGAATTTTCCCATTAAACATGGTGTTTTTCCATAGTTATGTAAATGTTTACCAGCGGGTAGGGCTGCTATATATCCCAAGAAGCAGCAAGATTTACAAGTTTTACAACAAGAACATAATGATACACCACTGAAATTTAGCCTACCCCATTGAATGTTGAGACAAACCCTCAAGGGGGTTCGTCTCGACATGGGGAAACAGGTTTTTCATCGAAGCAACAGGTCATGAAACATGCGGACAGAGCCAAGCGGGATGCCCCCATCAATAAAATTGAGCAATGTCCCAAGTAATGTCCCAAGTAATGTTGGTAAATGAATAAACAATGCAATAAACCAGCCTTATTTTGATGGTTTATACACCCATAAAAATGGTAAAATTGGGGATGGTTTACTATTTCTGTATATCAACATTAGTTGATATTTCCCAATGATTAATCACTCTCCCAACAATAGATACAGTAATAATTAGTAATACATAGTAATACTTTGACATATGCAGAAATTACTTTGAAGAAACACATCACCCACGCATGCCCACGCATGCCCACGAACCTAAACAAGGTTCACCCAGAAACACTTGGACTTGGATCATCTGGCGAACCAAGCTTTACCCATATTCTTGGTCGTTAACTCCCATTTTGTTTGTGAACTCCCCATGTTTGATGGTTAAACCGTGTCAACTCTCCATGTTTAATGGTTATAACTCATGTAACTCATGTTAACACCCCCATGTTAGATGGTTAAATCATGTTAAATCAACATTTCAGCAATGATGGCCCAATGATTTTCAGATATTTTGGATCATGCTTTACCAGTATTGGAAAATTAATCATCAACCTGGTGACAATTGAGAATGAGCATATATATATATATATATGGGTAAATTATAATATTTCACTAACCTGAAATAAGGCCATTTGGGGATGATTCCCCTTACTAACCATCATTCCCAGTGAGGTCGCAGTGAGGTCGTTATAATTTACCCATATATATATATATACATAACATATTTAATCAGAATTTCACCATGTCCATCTGGTTAGATCTCAATTCTTTTTTGAGCTTCCGGTGATGGGCGCCCCGACTTGGATTTGGACGACAACATCTGGGCAGTCGAAATGCTTGGGATCAATTGGGGAATGCCTTGGGAAACTGCTGGGTGCCAGGTATGTAATGAGGATATTGGACACAACTTTTATGATCATGTAAGATATACAACCACGGCCACGGCATGGTTTTTTGGGTGCATCTGAAAATAGTGTCTGCTCCCAAATGGATCCAAATAGTCATTTCAATGGGACATGTGATCATAAAGAATCAAGTTGTTTGGGAGTACACTATTTCAGACAAACCCACACACACACATATATGTATATATATATATATATACATACACAGTATATAATATATGACAAAAGATTAAGGTCTTGGAGTATGCCATTTTGAGACGTAGCTACATGTCGTATGTGCATATATATATATAATTATATTACATGTATACATATAGAGAATTGTAGAGAGATACATATTCATATATAATTATTCATACATCTATTCACCTGGTTTTCTTCATCACATACAGTTTATGTGGAACACCACAATTTTGACCAAGCGAATGAAGCAACTGGACCAGTCCTGTATCAACAGCTTGTGAAGAAAAGCGTGCGCAGTTGCATGCGTTGAAGATTAAGATTTGTATGTATAAAATTATATGTTGTATGTTCCATTTCACTCCAGTGCATTGCAATGTTATGACCGGTTTGAAGGTGATGGTTGGAACTGTTCCACTTTGAAGGAGTTCAATGGAAGGACTCAAACTGAGCAAACTTGGCAGCAAAAGAAACACTTTGAAGGACACGTGCATCAAGCAACAAGTAAATACCTGCAACACATTCTTTCCAGAATTCAAATATACATACCAATTTTTCCGTCTAGTAAAAACTGGGCGGGTTTCTCGATTGCCATGTTTCACCGGGCTCTACCACACTCAGCTTGCTCTGTGAACATCTCCATTCTCAACTCATGTCCTGAATTTTCAGGGGTTACTCGGTTACTCCTGGACAGTGATTGCGATCTTCAAGTTGTTGTCAACCTCTTGGAAACAACATGAAACAACCAAACATGGCCCCAGACCCATGAGAGCAACCCTGGAACCCACACCTACTCCTGGCTGCATCAGGCAAACTTGGAGGAGGCAACATGCCCTGGCTCGAGGTTCTGGTGGTTGAACCACACAGCTCCGATCACGTCACTCTGAGTGTTGTTGAGGGTATATACATGTAGTATGAGGGTTCCTGAAATCCCAAATCATACATTTCAATTGGGTTTTATTCATGAACCATCCAGCTATTGGTGTACCCGCATTTATGCATTTATGGAACCCCATAATCCCGTATATATATATATAATGCACTATGAGCATCAAATACATCAAGTATTGAAGTAATTGGGAGTTTCCATCAGAGAATCAGCTGCCAAGGCGAATTCGAGGGATCCTGGGCTCGAAGATTTAAAAATCTGTTCTTTGAAGCATGATGAAGCATGGAAGATGCCGGAGAAGAACCAAGATGATGAGATTTTTCAGAGATTCACCCCAACTGTTGGGATAACAAAGCCATGAAATGTCATTCTAGGGCCATCAATTGACGCAAAAAAGCCAGTGAGACGGGTGCGTTTCCTAATCCTACCACACACGGTTAGACTTTCGCTTCAGGTATTGTTTTAATGGCCAAACATAAACATACATTAAAAAAACATAACAGCATCCTGGTTGGTTTATTCAACCCCTTTGAAAATATTAGTGAAATGGGATTATTGTTCCCAATATATATGGAAAAATATATAATGTTCCAAACCACCAACCAGCATCATACTGTCAAGCCATCAACCAGGCATTTCACCAAGCCGCGTCTTCAGGAAATGTCATGAGTCCTGGGGCGCCGCGCTTTGAACACCTTCAAATGACAACCACTTCGAGGTCGCTTCTGTCGCGCAGAGCCTAGGGGAGGACAATTTACTAATAGGCGTATGCAAGGATTACAGTATTAGTTGATACTATATTGATACTAATATGGTTGATCTAATATGGTTGATACTAATGGGACTAAACATCTTGAAGATCAACCATATTAATCCACCAACGTGCATCAGCATGGACGATCCAACGTGCATCTTGCTGCGCCACAATGGACCATCAGAGTGCCATGGGCTGGTGCAATGAAACTTGGGCATATTAGATATACATAGATATACTACATATACGATCATATACGTCCGGTCCAAAGCCATCTACACATTTTCGGGATTTCCGATGCCAGGTAACTGCTTCGTGGAGGATACCTTTCAATTTTCCGCTGGATATTCTCCTCTTTTTGGCATCCAAGCGCCGCGCCTCGGAACGCCTTTCTCTTTGGCAGGGGCTCCGTGGGTTCCGGCGCCTTTTTTGGGTTGGTGAATTGGAGGCCCTGCACCAGGTCTCGGGTGAATTGGATGCTTCATTTTTCGCGGAAGAGATGGGGAAAATACAGTTGAAACATGTTGAAAGTGAATGAAACCTCGCAAAAACCATTGATTCTTGGAATCGGATTTGGATTTGGATTGATTGGGAAGAAAATGGACCAGCCTTTTTGGTGTCTTTTTCAAGCAGTTATGTCAGTGGGAAACCTCAGCAATATTTGGGACTCATCTTTTGTGACACCAAGGACCCAGCAACTCGCCAGCTGTGAATCCAATGCATTCATGCCTGTGTGTACAGCACGCCGCAAGCAAGTGCCTTCCTGTGCATACACTACATGTAAACTCTATATAGTACATACATGTACATACTGTACCTGATCTTGAGTTTGGGATTCATTGTTTTGCTTCATGTACACACCCATCCTCGATTTGACAAAATATAAACTTGGACTATCCTCAAAAAAGTAAATTATCCAGAATTCGATCTAGAAATGGCAGGATGACGTTATACAGCATTCAGTGTATATAGATGCATACATACATATTATATGCATGTATATGTGTGTAATATATATATATACAGTACATACACTGTAGATGGTCACATTCACAACTACAAACTCAACATCACCCAACGGATCTAGCCTGCACCCAGTTGCTGACCGGCTCCGCTTTGGCCGGGGTGGCAGGCCCAGCTGTCCGAAGCGGCAACGGCTCCTAGGAGAGGTGGGCAATGCTGATTTCACCATGAAAAATTGTCATGTAGTGGGCTATGAATGGGAATACCAGGGGATACATGATATATATAATCATATATATATATATTATTATATGTATTATATATATATATTATATGTATTATATATATATATATATTATATGTATTATATATATATATATGTACTGTAGTTAGATTCTATAGATAGATGTATATGTTTAGATATTAACATAACCAACAATTAATATGATACCATGAGGTTTCCCCTCCCAGTTCCCTAGAATTTTTTGAGCCACCAGCAGCAGCCAGTCTCGGGACAAAAGGTCACGCATCTGTGAAATTGAACATATAGTCTGGCTGAAAACACTGAAAGCTAAACTATTCCATCAATTTTGTTTTCATCATATGTTCATTTTCCCACAATTTAGCTATGTGTCAATTCCATCATATTATTATACAATTTGATCAATTTTGTCATTAACTAGCATCCGGGCCTCATCTTGAGCCAACTCGAAACTTCCAATTCCAAATGTCTTCAATCAATCCACTTAGCCTCCCCGTGCTCCTGACTCCATCTTGACGACCTCCTGCAATTATGAGAGGCTTTGGCACCGGATCCTTGAAGCTATTACATGCATTTAAGACGGAACGATGGAACTCAATTGAAGTCGACAATAGCGCCTTATGGGTTTGTCTGAAAATAGGGTTCCCGGAAATTTGAGAATCTATCATCATTTTCCCTATTACAATGGCATGGTTCCCATAGGTGGAAATCCTTGCTTGCAATCATCATACCGCCACTTGCGGATGATTCCGAAACTGATGCGTCTCCTGACTTGTTATCATTCTAGTGAAGTCGAATAGTTCATCCAGATCCCATTTTTGGATATTTTTGGGTGAATAACCTTGATACCATTGCCAATCTTAGATACCCTGCAAAAACAAACTGAGCTGGTTCGTAGATATTCCTATTTCTAGCGAAAGAATGCAACAGATTAAAGGATTCAACTACCCATCCAGTTGGTTAACCTTGATACCCTGCAATTCAAATTCTGCAGCATTCGCCGGTAGCACGCCTGGCGACAGAAAACCTGCCATCAGTGTCGAAAAACTCTGCAATGCCTGGCTGCAGAGAGTTCTAAAGACAGGATCAATAGATCTAGATATATCTAGATACAATGAGATATATCTGGATACCCACTTCAAATTCGATTGCTGGCTTGATTTGCCTGTCAAAATCAACGTTGGAAACCAATATTTTTCCCTTGAACCTACGCTACGCCGTAAATTCCGGGATTCTGCCAGTTCACCTTCTGTCATCCCCAAACCCATTGGATCCTATTGGCGCAGGTTGATAGATTTGATTAATGATTTGACAGGAATTCCTGCAGCGGATTATAGTGATTATTGTAATTCAATGTAATTCATATAATTTGATAACATCAACATTATAATAAACTATATAGTAATTCATATAACATTATGATTGTTAATGAATGTAACATAAATGATTAGATATTACTAGTAATTCAAATTCATTCCAGCTACATCACCGCCTGGTTAAGCCCAAAATTTCTGCAGTGCCGACGTTTTCTGGGTCAACACTTTGCAACCTCCGAGCCAGCCTGAACAATAGGAAAGTTGTTGGGGATGATGAAAACAATACCTACCAGTAGTATCCAATATTATCCAATAGTTGTTGATCGTTCCTCCAATCTTTGGAACACCACAGGACCAAAGGTCTGCCAAAGGTCTGCCGGTCTGCCTTTGCATCTGCCAAAAAGATCTTCCACGTAGTCTCCTCGGAACACAGCAACGGAGACTTCGAGGCAATGATGGCGCTGCAAATCAATATCGATATATATATATATACCGTATCTCGCGCAACAATCACGACACAGTCAAGCATCTTGAAAACTCAGCAGTCATCCCATCGCATTGCGAGAGCGGACTGCAGCACAATCATGGACAATCTTCATATTATTGGATCAACTTTGGATGATTCTGACCATACTTCCAAGCCACGGATTTAGGGCGAGAACTCCTAGTGACTGGAGAAGGAACATTTCCTAGAAAAGATGACATGAAGCATGACTGGTGATCTCAGACTAACGGAAAATGAGAAATTTGATGTCATCGTCTCATTCTTATGCATTGATGGAAAGTCAGAAATCTCTGAAACCACCAGCGACTTTTTTGATCGGTGACATGCGGTTGGTTGAAAAACTCCGTAGAAACTTGTCTGATGCTTGCATCCTCCTGTTTATCGTAAAGTACCCTCTGGTTATTTAACCTAGCCATGGAACATGGCCCATTTATAGATGGTTTACCTGGGTTTACCTATTAAAAATGGTGATTCTCCATGGCTATGTTAAATAATCAGAGGGTAGAAACTGTCATTCCCCAGTTCCCCACGATTTTCGTGTTTTGCCTTGACCGGTCTACGTGTTTTTTGATGTGTTTCCTATGAGCCAAGGCCGGCTTTTTGAACGGCATTCTGTCAATGTCACGGCATCAAACAACACAAGATACACAATCAACTAACCATATATTAATATGTTCATAATATATATATATATATTAATATATACATATACATACACATAATTATTGTACACTCATATGAATAGTCGTTTCAGATCACTGAAGGATAAACAAATCATGGAATCTCATGCAAATTCTATCAAATTTTATACATACAATTACAATCAATTACATAACGATAGTTACAATGGTTTCAAACCCCTGAAAAATAGCAAATTCTTTGGGGGGATCATCATCCCGTGCTTGAGGAACGGAGAGAAAGAGCAACCATCAACCTGTAGTGTGTCTGGATGGAATTGATCGGCCAGTTCGTGCGCAATGTACTTGATGTCATGATATGCAAAAGATGAAAGTACTTCTTATCTATGTAAATACAATATACTTGATGTAATATACTTGATATTACTTGATACACCTGTACTTTGGTTCAGGTCCAGACCTCCCTTACAGTAAGGTAGGCCACCAACCAACATGATATCTCAACGTGGACCCAAAGTGAGCAATCCTTCCATCAGATGAGGAACTCCCCGCCATGCTTGCCGGGGGCAACTACCAGTTGATAGTCATAAATCGAGTCATTTTTCTCATCAGAAAAATCGTCTTAATATGTCTTAATGCCAAAAAATCGGTGAAATCGGACCACCGATCCCTGGACATCCCCGGACACAACGAACTCATGCTGACGGCTTTTGGCACGGACATTTCTTCTCGAAGCCCCGTCGCGAGGTCATCCAAGATCCTGACTGAAGCTGCAAGGTCTCCATGGGGATCATAGGGGATGGGTCCATGGGGGATGGGTCCATGATGTAACATGATAATCATGATATAATTTTAGCTTATTGGATGTTATTGGATGTAATTGGATCATGATAATCATAATAATCATGTTAACGTTTATTGGATGTTATTGGATTCATAAACCAACTTACAATTGGAGGGGCCACCAATCGTACCATCTTCGAGGTTTGAGTGTTTCTATCTCCAGGTGGCGCGCGGCGGGCATCACCAGTCAGCTATGTTTGCTGGTAATCCCTATTCCTTATGGGATCCCTATGAATTACAGCTTAAATCCCCATGATAGGATTATAATCCTAAATATCATACTGTAAGAACAATATATACATATATATACATATATATATATATAGATGATGAACAATTCCCAACAATAAATTAATCACTGAAGCATGTACTCTTGAGTTACTAATCACCATTCTTGGTAATTCATAACCCCAAACAATTCTTTCCCACTAGTTGATATTTCCCAAAAATCACAGTAACCCATCATAGTAACCCCCAAAAAAGATCAACTAAGACATTCGCAGTACATTTTTCTCACTATTTTCGTGGGATTCTACGACCCTCCCAGCCCACCCGCTGCAAAAAAACCGCCTGCGCGCAGCAGTGAAGGCGCCCGCGGTCAGGGAACCCAGCAGTGCGGACTGCAATGCCAACTCATCTGGGACGAGTCGGCTGAGATGCTGCGCTGACAGCCTGGGATGTCGCTTGGGTGAGTGTTTTATGGGGAAAACAACTGGTAAAAACAAAAGGATCAAAGTGATTTAACACACGGTATATGTGCATGGGCGATTTTTTTTCAAAAATGTCTGGATTTGGACAAATCTGACGGGTTTACCGTGATGTACCCATCAATTATGGAACTTTGAAAAGGAATTTGATCACACACGAGACTCTTAGGTGCCTTTTTGCAGACAAATTGATCGCAGGCGATTCTTGTTGGAGTTTAATCATCCCCAACATGGAGGCCAATTATTTTGAGCCTCAGCCATTTCAATGCGAGGATGACTCCTATCTCAATAGACTTTCTAGATCTTGTGTGTGTGTGTATATATATACACGATTATATACGTATATATGTTTCCCCTATATATTGATACAGACCGCCTTGGAAACACTCGTTTGGTGTTGGAACTGTTCTTTTGGAATCTCCTCAGGTAGTGGTAACTTACTTTGGAGGCACCAGATCACTGACCAGGAACACTTGAGTGCTTTGTCGCCAAGCGCTCCCAGCATG